AAAGCGCAAGGTTCCCCTTTTGACGACAAAAAACGAAACTTTTTGCGCCCCAAAAGAATATCCATTAACGTAACCGTCCTCATCAGGCAAATTTGGGCCCCTAATCCTTGCCAGCTAGACTAAAGATGTCAAAAGGGGGCCTTGTGCGTCGGGCAAGGTGCTTCCTGTAAGATCAGCGGGCTGCATAGTTGCGCGGGGAAAAGGGATTGTGTGGAGGAGAAAAGGATGACTGTATCATACTGCCGGGTCATAATGATCCGGCGTTGCGCCTTTTCTATTGGGAACGGGCTCCGGCGTGTGCCTTCGCGAACTAAAGCAGCGTAGAGTAGCTTGGCTCAAGTTCTTATTGTTCCATCTTGCAGCTCAGAGAGCGGAAACAGTCCTGCGCGTAGTAGATAGAAGTCCATCGGGGCTTGTCGTCTGCCGAGATGGTAAGGTTACAGCCCATGTTCTGTAAGAAAGCGCTCGTTGGCCTATTTTTTAATTAGCCGTACAGTATATACGCGCGTGCGCGACACTCTCTCCCGTGGGCGTCGGACTTTCGGAGGCAGACACGACTATGACGCCGCAGCTATAATTAAAAAGGGCTTAACAACACTAAAACCAACTTTTCTTACAAAACCCCTTCTAAATGATCCAATTAGCCTTCTTCTCCGCTCCTCCTCTAGCTCACCATGGTCCTCTTTGCCGGCTGGATCTAGCGCGTACCTTCCCGAGCTGACAGGTTCGTCCCCGGGCACTCTTTGATGGAAACAGAGTCTCCATTAATGTACGAAGAGGACGATCTGATGGTCAAAGTGAGCTACTGTACGGACTTTCACTGTTTGTAGACGTCCTGTATAGTGTGCCCTTGTCCCGGTCAGCTCGAGCTTACAGTCTAAGTTCTACGGTAAAGGAGCCGAGCGGGACCATACCTTTGTAACTCCTCCCGAATGGATAATACCACATATTGCGAAAGGGTGTTGGCCGTAGTCCAGAAAGAATGATGTTTGGCGAGTAGTATCGTTGATATGGTTGTTGTAAGCTGATTGTACCCCCGTAGATATTTCCCATTTTTTCTGAGTGTAGCTTAGATAACAACGTAGCATTTCCTGAAGTTTTTGAAATCGTCTTTCAAACTGTCCATCACTCTGTGCATGAAATTCTGTTGAGAAGTGAAGTTAAACTTTAAGCATTTTCATAAGTTCAGTTCAAAAAGATCCCATGAATCTTGTATCTCGATTTGAAATCATTTTCCGCGGCAGTCCATGGTCTTTGTAGATTTCCTTGTAGAACGTTGTTGTTATGGTTTTAGCGCTGTTGTCCGATCTGAGTGGTATATAGTGTGTCCGTTTCGATAGTTTATCTACCACGACCATAATCGCGGTTGTACCCTATGTTTTTGTAAAGTCGAATATGAAGTCCATTGATATGACCACCCATTTCTCACCCACCTCTACGTCAAATCCCCAAAACTATCGAAAGTAAGTCAAACATTCCTGAATATTGTCCACGTCTCAAGCGGGCGCGTGAAACTGATAGCAACGCTAACCCGATTTTAACCGCTCTTTCTATTTCTGTTGCAATTCCAATTACTCTGACAGTGTGTAAGACGGAGGCTGACTGTTAGCCCACCACGGCGGAGGTTACAGAAGTCACAACGGTGACACCTGTTGAGAAGGAACCGAGCCCACCTGTTGAGGCAGCTAAAGTGGTGGCGATTTCAACGATGCCAGAGACTACAGTACAAAAAATCGAAATTGATTTTATTGCGGGGCTCGAGAGCCAAGAACTGGTTCGCTGGCTAACTATTGACCTAGCACCCCGGTCCGCCCCGCGAAGTGGGACCAAGTGCTCAACGTGAAACAAGTGTAAGCCCGCACATCCAGCGTGGCACGAGCACAATTTAACGGAGGAACACATTAAGGGACTCATTAGTGCTCGTGGATTGCATAGTGCAGAGGAACACGGACGAGAGGGAGGCCACGCCTTATACGTTGTGACCCACCCGGGTTCGGGTCTAGGGAGGAGGTCGTGTCAGCGGAATATCATAATTTTACAGGAGGTACTGTACTGTCCGGGTACTAACCCCGGGACCGTGGTCCTTTAATGGTGGACCCGATTGGTCCGTATGGTGACAAGAGTCACACGTGGGAAATGTCCCGCTGAAGGTCGATGTACCTTCAGGTGGAGGATGTTTTCCCGTGCTTATATGAGGACAGAACAGGACAACAAGAATATAAAGGATACGCCACCTTTGCATTCCGACTCAACGGCTCTCGCCCCTTTCGCACAGTACACACCGCCTAAACAAAAATCTTCTCTCCTCCTTTGCCTTTTCCCTCCCCTACGCAAGCAGCCCCATTCAACTGCCAACACTAACCATTAATGGTTACGCGCGATGCAGTTTGGTTTTGCACATACGAAACATAATCTGTTCTCCGCTTTTTCTCTGCGTACGAGAGTCTATTTTTTTTGACCAGGAATGTTTTCCATATGCATTAGTGTCGGTCCCTCATTAAAATTTGAAGTGGTCCTACTCATTCCAAAGAATCCTTGGTTGTTCGTGTACAGACTGTGAAGTCTATCTGCAATTTTCATTGCTTCTTGTAACATCGAGTATTCTGCCCTTTCCACTACAATACGTGTTCGAGTTTTCAGTCCTTGGCTGTAATGGAATACTGGTTCAGCCATAGTCATTGACGGAATTAGAATTATTCATTTTGAGAATTCTCTGTCGTATTCAGCCACTTGGGATAGTTCGCCCATTCGTGTTATACTGGTAAGTGTTTTCCTCGCGGTAAGCTCTATGTTTACTGGTTCGAAGTAGATAGTTTTCCGGTTTGCCATGGCGAACCGGAGAAATTTGGTCAAAACGTGCCTAGCGGGCTTAAAAGTGGACCGCACATAGAGAGACTAAAGACTGTAGTCTTTAGTCTCCCTATGTGTTTAGTCTTCCTACGTGCAGTCCAAATTGATTCATAACTATAGTTTGGTTTGGTACTGTAACCTGGCTATGCAGTTTTTGCTTTTCTTGATTAGCCTGAGCTCTTTGCTCTTGTAATGGTGCGGACTGCTGCTGCATTTGAGCTAAAGCATTTTCTATGTCCATTTTATATAATAATTTTAATAGTGCAAGGGTACCGCGTGTATTATTTATTCAATATCTAAAACACTTTTGGTACTTTGTGTTTTGAAATCAAATAATGTTTATTAGTTTTGTACGCTTTGAGTACTTTTGGTAGTGGGAAATGGTTTTCCTAATATATTTTGCAGATACTTTCGCAGGCTGAGCAATAGCGTGCTAGTGGTTGATAGAGAATTTCTGAGGTGCCAAGTGGACTAGGTGGAGCTGCTCGAATTGGGGTCTTATATGCTCAGGGTTGCCCTTATGGACGGTATACAGGAAAATAATACTGTAATTTGTATGACAAAGCTCACAGTAATAACCAAATATTTTTGTAGCACTACTGTAAGTATTTTCTCTAACATGAATCCATTGTTCGCACAACTTGAGTGCACATACTAACTGTGAATTTTCATTAATCCCGCGAAGACCTTGCGCAGCGCAAATAGCAATTCGAGCTCTTCTTTACCAGAGATACCTGGTCTGCTTGCGTGTGTGGCAGTGCTCAGGTAAAGTTTCAATCCCGGAGTCTGCGCCCTGCAGAGCAGGGAGAATGTTTTTGTTTAGGCGCCGGGTACTGTGCGAAAGGGGTGAGAGCCGTTGAGTCGGAATGCAAAGGTGGCGTATCCTTTATATTCTTGTTGTCCTGTTCTGTCCTCATATAAGCACGGGAAAACATCCTCCACCTGAAGGTACATCGACCTTCAGCGGGACATTTCCCACGTGTGATTCTTGTCACCATACGGACCAATTGGGTCCACTATTAAAGAACCACGGTCCCGGGGTTAGTCCCAGGACAGTACAGTACCTCCTGTAAATTTATGATATTCCGCTGACACGATCCCCTCCCTAGACCCGAACCCGGGTGGGTCACAACGTATAAGGCGTGGCCTCCGTGTCGTCCCTGGTCCTCTGCCGGGGTCACCACCGGGTCGTTTACTGTCGTGCACTAAGGGGGAGGATTGGGAATCCCCTCAGTCAGAGCACCGCGCTTTCGGGGGCGCGTGGGATGATTCGAGAGACCACCCGTGGGGTAACCGGCACGGGGTCCGGGCGTCTAACGCAGTAGGGAAATAAAGGGGAAAAGGGGTAAGTAGAGCCCAGGAGGGGCGGAGCGGTAGGGACAGCTGTCGCGCGGAGGGCCGTGTGTAGCGGACGACGCGCGCGGTAGAGATAGGTGGGAATCGGGACGCAGATGGCTCGCAGGGTACCGTCGTAGGGTGGGGACCGACGCGAGGCTAGGGCTCCGTTCCAGAAACCCAAGTTCTAGACCCAAGGATTCGTGAGGGTTTACTTATGGTCGGACGTCGGCTATATACTAGCCGACATCGGAGCTATAATTAATAAAACTAAAAATACTAAATTAACACGGCGGCGGTGGCCTGAGAAAATCCTTTTTTGGTAAGGAGGTATGACACCCATTACACGTGGGGTTTGACACTTGTGCACGGGGGCCTTGATGCCCTGCTACATGTGGCGACTGGTACCCGTGTGCGCCGGAGAAGGAGCTGCGCGGGTCGGGGACAGGTGTCCTGAATAAAAGATTAGCTGTGTCAGTGCACTACATCTACCTTGACAACCGTAATCCCCAAAGTCACCCAATTTAGTGTCACCATCGACACCACTCCCCCAATCGCTCCATGTTGCCTCGTGTGCACCTGGGGCCTCACTGTAAGTATTTTTCTCTAACATTAAACCATTAATCCATTGTTCGCACAACTTGAGTGCACATACTAACTGTAACTTTTTCATTATTCCCGCGAAGACCTTGCCCAGCCGGAATAGCAATTCGAGCTCTTCTTTACCAGAGATACTTGGTCTGCTTGCGTGTGTGGCAGTGCTCAGGTGGAGTTTCAATCCCCGAGTCTGGCCCCCGCAAAAGGATCTCACTGGTATGGCGAAGGCGAGGCAAACCGCGCGTCGGAGCACGGGCGGCAAAGCTCCGCGGAAGCAAATAGCGACGAAGGCAGCTCGGCTTTCGCGTGAGGAGCAAGATGCTCGGGAGACTATGGTGTGGAAATTATCGAAAAGAAGAGATATTAAGAAGTTCTCTAAGAGCACTGAAGGCACTCAGCGGTACCCGTACCACGTTTGGGTTGGGTTGCAGCTCAGGAGATGTGACCTCGACCAGACCGAGATGGTGCGGCTCTTCGGACGACATATCCTGATCCATTTAGGCGTGAGAGGAGACCGCAGAATTCTTATGGATGAACTTTCCCGCATTGGTATAACAGAGTCACTCAATGATGCTCGCACCTATGATCTATTGACGAGGAGTCGTGAGATATCGCGTCAATCTGTTTTGAGGACGACAAGTACAACGCGGTCAGCTATCAGGACAAGTCGAAGCATGCCATTCTTCTCTACACTCTTCAAGTCTGTGGTGGTGATCAATCTTCTGAGCACGTTCTCTCCAACTCAACTTTCTACGTTAATGGCCGATATCAAATTTCAGCCTACCTTGTCATCGATGCGTGGCGTCAGAAGAATCCAGGGCGTTCTCTGCCGATGTCTGTGTCTGGTGCACGACCTGCGAGTTCTTCCGCATCTTTGGTCCATTTAAAACGTCTGGGTGGAACGCCATATCAGGACAAGACGAATCTTTGCATTCCGGCGGCTATATGCAACTTTATACATCTTCTTGGTGCCCCTCGATTAGCTTCCCACTACTGGGGGCACTTTAGAGACCACTCCTCCTCGTTTGTGCAGCATGACAGGCTCCCTCGCCGTAATCGCAATCTGAAGGGCGCCAATAAGCATCTCAAGCAAAACGAGTTGGCACTCAAGCATCCATTCGGATCGATACCGACTCTAGACAGACTTTTGAATATCCGCTCAGGATTGTCTGTCGCCACGCTTGAAGGAAGCACAAACAAGCTGCATAGCGTGTGTGTATCATTGACCGAGCGAATCATATTGGGCCACATGGAACCATATCCGCTCACGTTTTCCCTGGAAGCCCATCAGCTCTGTTTTGGTGATGGGGTTCGTTTGCTGGAGATTCACGAGATGCAAGAGGTTTGTCTTGTACATGCATCCACAAACAATCGACGCAAACGTCGAAAGATTCATCCTAAACGCAGCAAATCAAAGTAGCCAAGTTGCGTTCTGTGTTGTATGCAGTGGTTTCCCTTCTAGTTTCTAGGTTCTAATTGCATTAAAGGGGTTCATGCGTCATGCTTATTGTTCAGCGTTAATGCACTTAATCATTCTACTACAGAACGGAGTTATCCTCACGCCATGGTGGGCCGTTCGTCCTTCCTCCCACGGTAGGGTACGAGTCAGCGAGCATGAATAGGTTGCCTCGATATTAGGCCATTACGAGACCTTCACACATAGCAAGAATGACGTAATTCCAGGATTCTGCAGGGTCTGTACAGCTTTGATACGAATGCAGGCCATTTTGTGTCCCCGAAAGCGGTCCCTTGGGCCACGAGCACTTCATCTCCCTCTTGGAAGAAGTGAGAGGACGCAACAACAATCTTCTTCTCTGCTGAAGCTCCTGAGCGGATTGCCCGTGGAAGAGACCCAGCTAGGAGTTCCAAATAACGATGAACGTCTGAGTAGGGAACAACTACACTTGCGCCCATCTCGACGCCGGGGTCCATCCGAGGTGGGGCCCCATACATTAATTCGAAAGGCGGCGCGCCATTTCTCAGGGGGCGTCGGCAACATCCATATAGAACTTGAGTGAGTGTTTTGTCCCACTCCATTCCAGTCTCCGGAACTGTTTTTCGAACGGCAGCCTTCAACGTTCCGACCATTCTCTCCGCTCTACCATTAGACATGGAAGCGTAGGCGAGAACTGTGCGCCACGTGATGCCGTGCCGAGCCATGAAGCTAAAACGGCTGAGGCTGTGAAGCTAGTTACATTGTCAGGGACAATGGTCTGCGGGGGGCCAAATGAGTACATAATTTCTCTCTTGACGAAGTCAAGAACCACTTGAGCAGTACTATCAGCGGTGGCTATCGCAATTGGCCATCCTGTCAGATGTTCGACAGCAACTAACAAGAAGCGTTTTCCGAACGAGGTGGCAGGGAAGGGGCCGCCAAAGTCAACACAGAAAACATCAAACAAGCTTGAAATAGGAAAGCGCAAAGTATTTTTGTACTTGAGAATCGGGCGTGCCATCTGACACCCGTCACCACTCTTCACGTAGTCTCTGACGTCCATATAAACGGTCGGCCACCAGTACCTTTCTGTGACAAATTGACGAGTAGTCTTCAAGTCCCAATGCCCAATGTCTTCATGGAAACCCTTCAGTATCTTCTCACGATAGGATATTGGGATAACAACACGAAGACCATGAATGGTACGACGGAAAGTCTTAGACTCCCACACAAGAAAGTTCTTCGCATTAGTCTTCATGCGAGATTTCCTGCGGTCATCCAACCCAACCGGAGTTTCGCCTTGCAGATATGACAGGATGTCTCCACAAGACTCTTCTAGATCTCCTGTAGAGTAGACTGGGGTGGTTATGGCCAAGGCAAGTCCTCCCTCTTCTAGGCCAATAGAGTCGCCTCCGTTTTCGGGCTGAATACGAGAAAGATAGTCAGCTGCACTATTTGCCGAGCCACGACGATATTACACGGTGAAGTCGTACTCAGCTAGAAGTCTAGCCAACGAACCAAACGACCGTGGATGTCCTTCTCGCGAAAGGCCTAACTAAGAGCCTGGTGAACAGTAATGAATTTGAAAGGTGTAGACGAAAGCACATAAACAAGAAATTTCTTCAAAGAAAAGATGACCGCAAGCGACTCACGCTCACAAGCGGAGTACTTGCGCTCAGATGTATTCATAGAACGACTTGCGTACTGGATGGTCTTTTGAGCCAAGACAGCTCCGACGGAGACCGAGGACGCATCTGTCTCAACGATGAAGGGCTTCTCGAAGTCTGGATAAGCCAAGACGGGCGGGGAAGTCAACTTAATACGTAGTTCCTGAAAGGCTTCTGGAATTTCTCCCGTCCATTTCAATCGGGCATTTCCGGATGTAGCCGCAAAGAGTATAGCAGCGATATCGGCAAACTTGTAAATGAAGCGACGGTAGTAGCTTGCTAACCCGAGAAAACTCTTAAGTTCTGTCGTAGTGGTCGGGATCGGTGCATTCCGGATTTCTTCGAACTTGCCCAGGTCTACATCAATCCCGCTCTTGTCGACAATATGACCAATCAACTTGATCTTCGCTTGGGCGAAGTTACACTTCGTCAACTTAAGCTTAGGACCAGCCTCATCAATCACATCCAATAATTGCTGCAGGTGCCGAAGATGTTTTTCTAGATTCTTGGAGAACACTACAACTTCATCGTGGTGTACACGCACAAACGACACTCCTGGAAGGATTGTATCCATCATTCTTTGAAATGTTGAAAGCGCATTCATCAATCTAAAGGGCATATCTTCGACCTTATACGTCCCGGGCGGCAGACAAAAGTAGTATTTTCATTGCATTGTTGTGCCATCCGAATTGCCAGTAACCTCTGAACAAATCTAGACAAGTGAAGTACGCACTTCCTTCCAATTCGTCAAATATCTGCTGGGTTTTTGGCAAAGGCCGTCGGTCTGCCTTCATCCTCTGGTTCAGTCTCTGTCAATCAACACAGAAGCGCGGATTACCATCGTTTTGGATACGAGGACCACCGGGAAGGACCATGCGGAGCTGGGAGGGGTGATGATTCCTGCTTCCAGCATTCTGTCGAGCTCTTTCCGCACAATTTCGTTATAACGAAATTGTGCGGAAAGAGCTCGACATATATACATCGTTGCATATATGCAACGGAGCTATTCTCCATGCCGAGTGGTCGATTGGATTCGTATCATCTAACTCGAAATGATTCTTAATTGGGACTTCTGCAGGCCGAAGGTCGTCGAGAGATGTGCCGACAATACTCTTATCCATTAATGCGGTCTCGACGATGCTTCGAGCTTCATTGTCGAGATGAGCAAGTCTCTCACGAAGAATTCTAACTGTCTCGTTGACGGCATTGGAATTGGGTGACTCTGTTTCATCCTTTTCTTTCATCGCTCCGTCCACAGTCGCGTCTTGCTCGAACGGGTCATCGCCAAGGATGGCGACCACATAGGTCTCTTCTTCCGACGAACTTTCTCAGGCGAGCGACTCAACATCAGAAGTAAAGTCTTCACTATCCGTCTCCGAACCTGCCACGATAAGACTTACTTGGTCCAACTCCAAACTCATTATCATGGTTTTGTTTCCAATCACCATTTTAACAGATTGGTGACCTAGGTCGATGCAGGCTTGAAGTTCTTCGAGAGTTGAATACCCGATTAACATGTCAACCGGGGATCTTTCAAGTTAACAGTGCCGTTGAACGAAGCGGGAACGTCCTCGATGGAACCCAGGCAGGTTGTCTTTTCCCATTGGCGACCGATATCTTCGTCGAGGTCGGCTTTGGAGACAGAGAGAGCTTAGATGCCACAGAAGCATTCACAGCATTAGGGATTGCTCCTGAGTCTAGCAAAGCCCTCATTTGTGTTCCGTAGACTTGTAACGAAACTACTTTCAGACATTTCGGCAGAGTACCGATCAAAGCGGCTACGGGGCGTCTAGGGCGACTGTTGAAGAAACGACGGATCTCTTTCTTGGCCTCGTCGCCATCTCCTCGAAGCAGTTGACCGAAACTCAAACCAGAGGGGGTGTTCGTGAGGAAAGAGACCACATCGTACTTTCCGAAGTGCTCTTGGACGGCATTCTTCTTACTCGTCCTCTTCTTTCTTGTTCGACGGCCAGGCTTAGGAGGTTTCCGCATGGGGTTCGGGGTCCAGTACTTACGCGGGTTGAGGAGGGACGAGATTGGCTCACCGCCACCATCCTTTCGCGTCTTGGCCACCGGCTCTCCATCGGCGTTTCTCTTGAGTGATGCCACTAACTCCTCATCAGCGAGGAGTTCGTCGTGCGTCACGACACTCACTTGATTTCCTGCGGAGCCGCCTAGTGTCTTCGACACGGTAGCACCGGCTTGAGTCTTTTTAGGAGAGTAGGAGCTACTACCTCCCCTCTGCGGTCCAATTCGAGGCCAACTGCTTGTTCCCGAATGACCAAATGTTCCGCAACGAGCGAATTTCGTGTCCCTATGCGGATTCGCATCGCATCTATTAGAGCCATGACCCGGGCGCTTGCAATATGAACAGGTACGATCCTGGACGGGGCAGAACGGTGTTTCCTCATTCCTCGACTGGTTCTTCTTGACCATGAGGGAAAGGTCGGCAAGCTGATTCCTTAAAGCGTCAACGTTCGTCTCGAGTGAAGACAAGGGAGCGTTTGACAGCATCATGACCCTTTCCGATCCAACTTGACCTCTCGGCTCGTACATACCTTGCGAGCTCTCCAACGCGTTGTAGCGCGAACTACTCATGGAGTTCGCCGCCGCTTGAAAGACGTAGCGACCAGAGCAGAAGTTCATGACCGCATTGAATAGGGCTTTGTAGGTCTTTGCATCCCGATAGATGGCCAATTGGGCCAACTTGAGATGTTCAATCACAGCGTTGCGAAGCAATCCAAACTTCGCCTCGTCGATGAATCCCGCCTTCTCGTAGAGACGGTCTGAGTTTTGAAGGGATCCACTGAGGTACCCGAAAGAAAGGCGAGCGGCCATCGCGTCCCGAATCACATCTTCAGGCGATTCAACCGGGGCGAACCGCTTGACCAAGGCCTTCTTGACCTTCTGGTAGTCGGAGCCATCTGCACTGATGTCTCCGTTCATGACGAATGCTTGATAGAAGAAGTCGAATGCATCTCCCTCCAGGTAGCGAAGGATTTCACATACCCTTTCTTCGTCCGACTTGCCAGAGGTGGCATCATTATCGAAGACAAAGAAGAACTTCTGGACGTCGGCAGGCTTCGACCAGTCAAACTGTGACAGGGAGCCGTCTTCTTTGTCAACGCTTCACAAGAGTACCATGTTGGCAGTGGAAAGGGGCGGCGTGCGAAGGGGAGGGGAAAGGCAAAGGACGAGGGATTATTTTTGTTTATGCGGTGTGTACTGGGCGAAAGGGCGAGAGCCGTTGAGTCGGAATGCAAAGGTGGCGTATCCTTTATTTTCTTGTTGTCCTGTTCTGCCCTCTTGTAAACGCGGGAAAAACATCTTCCACCTGAATGTACATCAACCTTCAGCGGGAGATTTCCCACGTGTCACACTTGTCACCATACGGACCAATCGGGTCCACTATTAAGGGACCACTGTCCCGGGGTTAGTCCCCGGACAATACAGTACCTCTTGGAAATTTATGATATTCCGCTGACAGTTAGTAATTTGCAATTAATTGTAATTACAACAGGCCTTACATGAACAACAAGGCATATATCCTCATAAGAAAACCGAGTGGTTTCGCTGAAGGGTCTCAGCACATCAGTGGAAAATTGAGTAACTGCCGTTTTGCGTAAGAAAACAAATCAAACACACAAAAAGTCCGAAAATACGAAAAGCACAAAAGGAAGATCTTAGATCAGAGGTATCCAGTAGAGAATATAGTAAAGTGAAACTATGTGCATTTGCACCTTACAAGAAAAGGAGAATACCACAGAGACAAAGCCTATTAGTCTACATGGGGAGGGTACGAAGTACAACCGCAAACCTCTCATGTAGCATCCTCGTGGATAGTGGCTGTGAGGGGATCTTAATTTGAAAGAAATATGCCGAAAAATTGAAATTGAAAAGAGAGAAAACTAGTCTTAATGCAATACTATAGGACCGAACACTAGTTCCTATAGAACGGTGTTGCGATAATCTAAACATATGGATTGGAAAAGCTGCTATCAGCGTGCGGCCATGCGTAGCAGACTGGATCGCTTACGGCTTAATCCTAGGCAAGGCGTATTTAATCCCTTCAATTGTGGTTAACAGGCGCAAACCGCATTCAGATTTTACGATAGCACTGCGCCGCTTGGTACTGAAGTGGGTGGTGGAAGAGTTGAACAAACACGGAGAGAAGAAGCTCGCGCCGAAGGCCATTCGCATATTTTTTATCTATTTACGGGTTCTTACAAAGCCAATCATGCTAAAGCCGTCCACTAGTGGAATGATACAGAGAACGTAATGGAACTATCACAGTCGGGAAGGGGCCTTGGGAATTTATCAGCTGTTACACACTACGGTCTCAAATGGGTAATCTTGAAAGCAATGTCTGGGAGAGGATCCGAAAAAGCCGCGTGGGTCGTAGCTTTATACTCTGCACTCCGGGTAGAAATTGATCGATTGCACGCGCTGACTGTTAAACTAAGCCCTTATTTCCTGGCATGTGCCGCAACGTATTTCATACACAATGCAGAGAGTGACGCCTTGTTTGCATCTTCAAATTTCATTGACGGTAACCCCGTTGTCGACAAGATAACGATTCGTTGGGTGCGGACATTTACGGATTTGCAAGGACATGTAATTCGTCGTCAGGCGGGCAGTCTTGCCGTTAGCCCCGAAAAGCAACTAATTATTGAAAAACAGTTGCCTTCCACCTAGGGACATTGAAGAGAGGTTTCCAGTCCGGCGACCTAAATGAAGATCTAGTAGAGAATGCCGACGAGACGCACCTTGTATTTAACATGGACAATGGCAGGACAGTTGGCTTTCTTGGAGATGAGAAAGTTAAATATTCTGATGTCGTCTCTGGCGACGAGGGTATTACCATGATGGTACGAATCTCAGGCGGGCTGCAGGCAAGCATCGCGCCACCTATGCTGGTGCTTCAAAATCCAAACTCCTCGTACACTATTAGAGCAGTGGAAGATAACGTACCTGGCGTGTGCTACCGGTCTGGAAGGAAGGGTGTAGTGCAATAAGGGGTTGCCCAAGGGGGTGAAGGGAAAAGAAACTAAGGTGGAATGTGAATACTGTAGTCCAGGATTGGCGGGACACACGTGTGAATATTTGCACAGTTGTTATTTTATTTATTTTATTTTATTTAGTTAATTAGTTGGCATTGTTTTGGCTGACATTAGATTAGATTTAGAATCTAGCGCCGCGAGCTACTGTAGTGGCTCCAGTGGGGCGATCTATATCTTTGCCCACTGACCACCAAGTCGGTAAAGGTAACCCGAGAGGCCAGAGTCTGATATCGCCTTGGTCGAAGTCCGTCTTTTACAAGACATTCCCTTCTACTACAGATTTGTTTATACTTTGCGCTCGGGGGTTCCCTTTCTTTTTCCTTAATTTCCCTATCCTTTTCTATTTCTGATTCTACCTATTTCCCTTATATTGTGTTAGTACCATCGGTATTGGTAGCGACCGAACCGGTGTAGGTGTCCTTGCCATCGGGCGACACGTTGTCGTAGCGCTGCTACAGTGACCTATTTACGACGGAGCCAGTTGCAACGACTTCTACCTCGAAGGGCTTTGCGTGCGTATAATTCAGTGTTAGAATCATCGGTATTGGTTGCGACCGAA